TTATCATTTTCATACTTTGAAACACACATATTTTATTAAAATAAAATATGACAACATCTTTCCCTAAACACCCTATATGTCGACTCCTTTAAGGGAATTTCCAAGGATCCTTCTCTTTTACAATACATTTTCCTCACTTAATTTAACAACTACACGTACATAAATATATAATATATACCAAGTTCCTATTTAATTTTTTTGGGAATCTCAAGCTCTTTAAATCCTTCAAGGCCGAAACATCAAGGGTATGTTTCAAAGGATTTTCTTTCAAATTTAACATTCTTACTAACTCATCAAATTTCCTCTTATTCAAGCACATTAAACCTTCCCAATACATACAATAAATCCTTGCGCATCACCCCTAATTACCCTATCAAGGCCGAAATCTAGGGTATGTCACCATGGGATTTTTTTTCCAATTTTTATACATGTTCATATGCTTATTCCATATTCCTATATCCAACACATCATCAATCCATCATCAATTCAAATTTTAAACTAATTTATTTCACACCAACACATGCTCACAATTTCTATGACACAAACCATCAAAATAACATCATGGAAACAAAGGTTTCTTACCATTAATCAACTTCCCAAAGCCTAGAAAGCAACCTCCAAGCCAAGCTCCATCAAAAACTCACTTTTTCCACCTTGGATGAATAGTGCACGAAAATGAGATGACCAGTATCTCTCTCCACACACGAAATCAGCTCAAACGGAGGGGTGGAATAGCTTCCTTGGACGATTTCCTATGAGATTGGTATATTGGTTGGAAGATTTGGTGGCTTAACCATGGAGAAATCAAAGAAGGAAGAAGACAACCCCAAACCCTTCCCCATGGCTGCAGATCGGTTTTGAGAGTGAGGAGAGGAGAGAGAAACTGATTTGGAAATGAGACTTAAGTGACTTAAGAAGGTGAGCACATGTGGCCTTTTACCCGGGTATTTTCTTTCGCGTATTTTCACTTAAACTAACCCGGAACTAACTCAAAGCTACAAATATATTTTTATTTTTCTAAAATCATTTATATTAATTTTTAATTCTTACACAACAATATTCATAATTCACAGTATGATTTTTGCACCGTTTTTGACGAAATGCACTGTGAATCACTAAGTGTACTTCATTTACTTATGAAACTTAAACTTATAAACTTATCATTTTCTTGGGCCTATATTGACTTGCTTGGCATATATTGGACTTTCTTATTCTTATTTCATCAATTATTTATTTCTGGGCTCTACCGGTTGCTTAAACAGCAGTACAAAATACCCGGTAGAAACACTATTCACGAGATTTTCACGGAAAGTGCCAGACTATACAATTTTTCGTTCTGAACTCATATTTGTCGTCAGAATTATCAAATTATGTTCCTAAAATTATTTTGCTCATTTAAGCTCTACCGGTTAATTCACAAAACTGTAAATTCTCCGGCAGAACGCACTGTTCATAACATAGTCATGATTACAGTCAAAATACTCGAAATCGCTCACTGAATCTTATTATGGCATTTAAATCCTTAAATTAAATCTCTAACTAAGATTTACAAGTTAGGGTCATTATATGTAGCAAATTATTTGCATGTATATTTCGTTGAACAGTGTAGCGAATTATGTCATGTGGCATTCTGAGAAAATTTATTGTTGGCGTGACAGTCTGATAAATATTTTGGCCAAGCGTGACAAAATGGTCAGTATCCCAATATCTTGAGCCCTTGGCATATTCCACCCGCTTTTGCAATTTGTTTAAAATTGGACTTGTTTGTTAAGTTGAACCAACCAAATATGCTTTGAGCCCACATAATGACATAAGTGACATCTTATCGTAGAAATATCAGCTGGTCCACTGACTAGTAAGCAAAATTAGAGGGAAAATCAGAGAGATATCAAGACAGCAGAGAGAAAAGGCCAAGTTTTATTCACTAAACTTAAAGAAATTCTTCTATATCTTCATATTAATACACTCAACTACTTAATAAATTATCATAAAATTAATTTGAGAACATAAATTTAATTTAATTCTTATGCCACATGCTATGTTTTGATTGAATTGCTTTATTATTTGATTAACATGTGATGTTCTACTTACTTTCGAGCCAAATGTTCCAACTTGAAGTCTGTGAGTTTGTACCAGATACTTTCTCAATTGCTAACTCACTCAATCGTTCACAATATATCTAATCTCAACGTTTGATATTACATAGCTTTTCAATCTAGCTAGAAGAAATTCCACTGCAATAATACAAGTCATCACTGTCAATGTACCAATTTAGGGGTTATTGGTTTTTAAATTCCCATTGATCGGGCCCCAACTGTTTGCGTCTTTATTGTCCTTTTTCTTCTCTTCACACCTAAGTACATGTAATGCAGCAAATATAGACAGGGCATGGAACTTCTGATTTCGATTTGAAGCTGGTTGTAAGCAATTTCCATGATTATCTATGTACTACATCAGGTGAAATTGAATCAAGTGAAAAAAAAAGACAAGAATTCTAAAGGTTAAAGCAATCTCATTTAAATCTTCAAATTTTACCTCAAAAATATGATAGTACCATGTAATGAGAGGGGAAAAAAAATGTTTTTCTGTATAAGAACTATCCCCCAATATACACATGATATATGATATGTATTAAAAGAAGGAGAGTGATTCGTTTACAAATTTTTGCAAATTATACTATGTACTTCCGGAAGTAGGTAGTATAACCTAGTACTTTCGAGAATATATAATATAATTTGTAAGAGTCTGTAAACAATATAATCCTTCCCTTCAAACAATTCATGTCTATCTCATAAAACAATATGATATTGTCAAGATTTTTTTATTTTTTTTTATTTTAATGGAAACTGCAAATCCTTGTTGATATTATCAACAAGTGACACACACAGTGGCGAATCCAGAAAAAAATTTATGTTCGCACCCGAATTTTTTTTTTTGTTAAATAAAGTTTAAATTAACGCTTGAACCCGCTCATAATCTAGTTGCTTCCACAACAAGCTGTAGACAATAGTTTGACCAATTATTTTTCTCCCTAAATCTTACCAATTCTCCAAAATAAATATGAGAATATACTCCAGTACATCCATACATTATCATTCTATTTTATAATGGTGAATAAAAAGTCAACATTATCTATACATAAGGCAAGCAAAATCACATACCTCGTCTCCAGAGATTAACTTATTTGAGAATGTCAGACCTGCAATCAATCTTCTCTTTTTATAAAAATGAAAAAGGAAACAAATGATGAATAGAACATGAGAATGGGTACGTGACAGGGGAGGAAGAATAAGTTTTCTCTCTAATCAATTTGCATTGCTACGTTATTTTAATCATCTCTGTACATTGCTACGTTGCTAACTAATATAAGAATAAATATCATTTTTGATCCCTAACAAAAAATTTGATCCCCACTTTCGTCCATTATAAAAAAAAAAACTAGTCACCTGGTCACTATGAAATTCAAAGTGGATCAATTTTAGTCTTTTTGAGGGACTAATGTGGATCTTTTTTGAATTTGTGAGGGATCACGATTTTAACTAAATTGATCCACTTTGAATTTCTCAGGAAACTCGAGACTAATTCTTTTATATGGGACTAAAGTAGATACCGTGTTTTTGTTAGGGACTTAAAAGAGAAACTTAAAAGAGTATTTACTCCTAATATAAATATTGAACCAAGACATAAATAAGAACCTACTACAACAACAACAACAACAAACAAACAAAAAAAAACTAAAATCGACGTAATTTTATGTCCGTATTTGCGAACATTTGCGCAGACGTGCGTCCATCACTGGACACACATCTGTCGTGTTGAAAGGACAAAAGAAAGAAAGATGGAACAGTGACCATTTTGCCACGTTTGAACAAAAAAATTACCAGATTGCCACGCCAACAGTAAATTTTGCCAAACTGCCACGCGGCATAATTCGCTACACAGTGTAGCGAAATATGCCACGTCAGAACCAAAAAATGCCATGTGTCAAAATTGTTGAAATTCGCTACCCTATGTAGCGAATTTCAACAATTCTGACACATGACACTTTTTGGTTCTGTGCATTCTGACGTGGCATATTTCGCTACATTGTGTAGCGAATTATGCCGCGTGGCAGTTTAGGAAACTTTACTGTTCACGTGGTATTCTGATAATTTTTTTGCCAAAGCGTGACATTTTGATCACTGTCCCAAAAAAGATAGGTAGTAATTAGTAAATTTATTGTAAGAAAGGCGACGTAAAAAAGTGAGCTATGGCGTTTAGCAGAAGAATTTTTTTTTTATTTGGAAATCACAATTTTCAAGAGCATAATAAAAAATAAATTTTTCATAAATATTATTAAAAAATAGTTTACTAAGTTAAAATATTTTTAGAAATATTGAGTTAATTTTTTTGATATGATAGTATTAAATTTTACCTTGTTATGGAAATCCAAAAATATCATTCTCTGAATGATAATTTTAAAAACATTTACACACAAAATAAAATTTTGAAAAAAAATTAGACATCTCATATTAAACATGGATAAATAAAATTATCACCTTCAATTTTTCAGGAATCATAACAAAAAAAAAAAAAAAACTTTTACCAAATGCTCCCTTGGAGTAGATCAAAATTGAAAGAAGTTTGAAGTTAAAATTTTCACATAATAAATATCTTTGATTTAGCTGTCGACTCCGTGCCAAATGCATCTTTGTCCACACACAATTCTTATCTAGATTATAAAATCTGGCGTAGTTTGGAGTTTGGACCAAACATAAGAGCCTCTAGTGTGTTTGGCAACGAGACATATCAGTTGACTTGACTTTAAAGGGCTGTTATTTTTTATTTTTTTATTTGTTTTGGTAGTGGCAATCAAATTCAAACTCAAGATGTCCCCGTACGTGTTAATTATGTTGCCTCCAGTATTTAAGTGCATAGAGTAACACAAGAAAGTATTATCCCACTTCTGTTTTTCCACCCAATTATCAAACTCCAGTAATCTCGTCTTCCTCAACCAAAAAATGAAGCCTTTTTCTCTCATGTTACCTGCATTTTGCTCTACATTCCTTCACCTATTTTTTCTCTTTACTCTAAACTCATTGTGGTCTGGCCCAGAAACAACTGCCTCTGCATCGGGAAATAAAACTGATCACTTGGCATTGCTCAAATTCAAGGAATCAATATCCAACGACCCATATGGAATCTTGGTCTCTTGGAATAGTTCTACCCACTTCTGCAACTGGCATGGAATCACATGCAGCCCCATTCATCAAAGAGTTACTGAGTTGAACCTACAAGGCTATCAGTTGCATGGATTCATATCTCCACATGTTGGAAATCTCTCTTTTCTTATAAACCTCAACCTTAGAAACAATAGCTTTTATAGAAAAATCCCGCAAGAATTGGGTCGATTGTTACAACTGCAGCAACTCAAACTCACCAATAACTCTTTGTCAGGGGAAATTCCTAAAAATTTAACAAGTTGCTCTAATCTCAAAGGCTTATTCTTACCTGGGAACAATCTAATTGGAAAAATACCAATTGAAATTGCCTCTCTTCAGAAGCTCCAGCAATTGTACATGTCGGTAAACAATTTAACCGGAGGAGTCCCACCATTCATTGGGAATCTTTCATCCCTAACCATTCTCTCGGTGGTACGTAATAACTTAGAAGGAGGTATTCCAGAAGAAATATGCCGCCTCAAAAACTTGACAGTTATAGCAATGGCTACGAACAAAATGTCAGGTACATTTCCTTTTTGTCTTTACAATATGTCATCACTTACATATATCACAGCAGCAGAGAATCAATTTAATGGCTCTCTTCCACCATACATGTTCTTCACCCTTCCAAATCTCCACTTTTTTGGAATTGGCGTGAATCAAATCTCAGGTCCAATCCCCACTTCCGTTGCAAATGCTTCTGAACTTCAAGGACTTGATATCGGGGAAAACCATTTTGCGGGGCAAGTTCCAATTTTGGGGATGTTACAAGATCTTGAATTCCTACGTTTGTCTCAAAACAATCTAGGTGAAAATTCAACCATGGATTTGGAGTTTATAAAATCATTGACAAACTGTAGTAAGTTGCAACATTTAGGTATGTATGGAAATAATTTTGGAGGTCATTTGCCAAATTCATTGGGAAATTTATCCAGCCATGTCAGTGAACTATATCTTGGGGCTAATCAAATATCAGGAAAAATTCCCGCGGAATTAGGAAATCTAATTAGCTTATATCTCTTGGACATGCGACATAACCATTTTGAAGGGATTATTCCATCTGCATTTGGGAAGCTCCAGAATATGCAACTTTTAGATTTAGAAGAAAATAAGTTGTCAGGAGATATACCAACCTCAATAGGCAACCTCAGTCAGTTATTTCATTTGGGTTTGGGACACAATTTTTTAGAAGGAACTATTCCTCCAAGTATAGGAAACTGTCAAAAGTTACAATATCTAAATCTTTCCCACAACAATCTTGGAGGAACCATTCCCTTAGAGGTTTTTAGTCTTTCCTCTTTAACAAATTTACTAGATTTGTCACATAACTCATTGAGTGGTAGTCTACCAGATGAAGTGGGCCAATTGAAAAATGTTGATGTCCTAGATTTCTCTGAGAATCAACTATATGATAATGTTCCTGGAACCATTGGAGAATGCTCAAGCTTGGAGTACCTTTATTTTCAAGGCAATTCCTTCCATGGTATCATACCATCCTCTTTGGCTTCACTAAAAGGTCTTCGACATTTAGACCTATCAAGAAATCACTTGTCTGGATCAATTCCTGATGTTTTGCAAAATATTTCCTTCTTAGAATACTTGAATGTATCATTTAACATGTTGGTTGGTGAGGTACCAACTGAAGGTGTCTTTCGAAATGCAAGTGGGTTAACAGTTACCGGAAACAACAAGCTTTGTGGAGGTGTTTCAGAGCTGCATCTACCGCCTTGCCCTGTTAAAGGTGATAAACATGCAAAACACCATAATTTCAGGTTGATAGCAGTGATAATTAGTGTAGCTACTTTTCTTCTCATACTATCATCCATTCTTACTTTCTACTGGATAAGAAAAAGAAGCAAGAAATCATCTTCTGATTCACCAACAATTGACCAGCTGGCCAAGGTTTCATACCAAAACCTACATTATGGAACTGATGGGTTTTCAACAAGAAACTTGATAGGATCTGGAAGTTTTGGCTCTGTGTACAAAGGAACTATTGAGCCAGAAGACACAGTTGTTGCCATAAAGGTCCTAAATCTTCAAAAGAAGGGAGCTCACAAGAGTTTCATTGCTGAATGTAATGCACTCAAAAATATTAGGCATCGAAATCTAGTTAAGATTTTAACATGTTGTTCCAGCATAGATTTTAAAGGTGAAGAATTTAAAGCTCTTGTTTTTGAGTACATGACAAATGGAAGCTTAGAAAGTTGGTTGCATCCAGCAACAAAAATTGCACATCAGCCTAGATCATTAAACCTTGAAGAAAGGTTAAATATTATTACTGATGTTGCTTCAGCAGTTCATTATCTTCACCACGAATGTGAGCAAGCTATCATTCATTGTGATTTGAAGCCTGGCAATGTTCTTCTTGATGATTGCATGGTAGCTCATGTAAGTGATTTTGGCCTAGCAAGATTGCTCTCAAGTGTTGGAGTCTCTCTGATGCAAAGTAGCACAATTGAAATACAGGGAACAATTGGTTATGCTCCTCCAGGTATACCCTAATATTGTTTGATTAAGTTGTGAAATTTTTTATTTTAATGTTTTAGCTATTGTTTATGGACCTTTATTTCCTTTTCGGTTGATATTTTGATATCTTTAATGCTATTTACTGAATTGCATTACATTTCAGAGTATGGAATGGGTTCAGAAGTGTCAATTGAAGGCGATGTGTATAATTTTGGAATTCTGATTTTAGAAATGTTGACTGGAAGGAGACCCACTGATGAAATGTTAAAAGATGGTCATACTATCCACAATTATGTTAAAATTTCAATTTCCAATAATTTTGTGGAGATTGTAGACCCAACTATTCTCCCCACTGAATTAGACCGGACTACTGAGAGAGAAAACCTCGGTCTTATGCATCCTAGTGTAGAGAAATGTTTACTCTCTCTTTTTAGGATTGCACTTGCTTGTTCAATGGAATCACCAAAAGAAAGAATGAATATGATTGATGTCACCAAGGAACTTAATATGATCAAAACTTTCTTCCCTTATGGGATTTAGTGGAGGTGAGCTGCATTACAACCACATAACAGATGATGGAGAGGAGCCACCTTACTGTTGCTACCCATCAATACTAGCAGATGTTTCAAATCCTTTCCTGGTCCTGTTATCTCTTATCTAAATGTTTTCCATGTAGAAGTTCGTCAATTTACTTAAAAAAAATAAAAAAATAGATTTTGAACAGTTGTTAAGTTTTTAATTTATCAATTTGATTCCAGCCTCCGTGCACGCTTGTTATCTGTACTAAAATAATGTTGCAATATAAAGAATATTACACCATATCATCTATGTATAATTCCCGTTTTTCTATTGCCAGAACAATCCAATAAGTTGGGATTAATTGTCGCAAGTGATATGACTATTTATTTAAACTCGTATCCAGCTTCTCCCATTCATCCTACCAGTTTGGATGCATGAAAAAAAAGGATAATATGGTATTTAACATTATATTGAACCGAACATTATAACTAATATAAATTCTCGAAATATCAAATAGAAAATGGACTTTTTACTTAATAAAAAATGCGTGCCTACTGTCATTATCAAAACCATATACCAGCAAACACAAATCATAAGCAGGAATTAGGTAGTACATCAATAAATTTCAAATATCCTAAAACATAAGCATAATTTACAGCTTTGTTGTATTCTAGTTCTACTGATCTATTACGTGTATATAAGCTGAAGTAAATTGCCATGTTAACTCTTCCTCATATCTTATTTTTAAGTCATGACATCAGTAAAATCTAAACATTCTTCACTTCACATTCGTCATCTTTTCAATTCCTCTCATTGGTTGGTTAAATGTCTTTGAACTCTGTTCTCAACATCTCTGGCTGTGTTGCCACATTTCAACATTCATGCATTGTCTTTTAAACTTCCTTACCAATATCCATGTCTTTAATGTTTCTATCTATAATGTTTCTATCTATCTTGTCAGATTGGCTCTTCCCCTTGTAATGATTGAGGTTACAATGGCTATGTAATTAATTACTCAAACACAATAACTGTCTTGCAGAGAAATGAAAAGTGAAATGCTTTAGTTAATTATTATATGATATAAACCCATTATTTTTAAAATGTCCCCTCTAAGTTCGAATTATTAGTTTTATTATTTATTTTGATTTATGATAAAAAAAAACTACTTACATGGAAACAAAATTGGATTCTGACACGCAGGTTAGTTGTTTAATGCTAGAACCTATCTTTATTGTGTAATCACTATTCAAATGACTTGATAAGCATATCCTTTATTTTACTATGAAATTAATAATCTCATCTCTGGGAATCATTTTGCAAAATTGAAGCAACCAGCTAAGCTGAAAATGAAAGCTTCTACAACTCCTATCAACGGAATGAACACCGCACACAGCGTCTCACCAAACGTCAAGTTTGATTTCTGAACCGATCACCAATTTCGCCACAGAATCGGAGGAAAAAAAAAATTAATCAATTCAGCGAAATCAACGAAAATCCGAATTCACAAGCATTGTAGGAATTGAAAGAGAAAATTTTGAAATCTCTTTTACCAGAGAGCTAGCTCCGTAGTCCTCCATGTTAGCAACATGCAAAACTTTTACACGGATCCAAAAGTGGAAAGAAATTCAATACATCTTCTTACATTTATTATACATTATTTTTCAACTAATCTTTTGATAATTAATAATTTGGGATTAAATCTAATATTTTATCATAAATAGGTGGAGCAAAATTTATAAGAATACAGTAAACCATCGCGGTCGGTATTGCATGATTGAGGTTGATTTGAATTTTTTTTTCAATCAATAAGGAAGACTCGGTAATACAGAAAATAAATAAAGGATTTTTTAATTTTTTTCCTCGAAATAAGGAAGATTACTATAATTTTTAAAACTAGAGGGGAGATCAATTTTCGTTAGCTTTTGAAGTAACTGAGTGTTCAATTTTTATGAACTTGCAGTTCCTTTGTCATGAATTACTTGAAAGAGAAGAAAATCCAGCCTGCTGTAAAGATGAGCCTGGGTTCAGATGCTGGAGACATTACTTGAAGGATGTTCAATTAAGCATGTAAATGCTTTGATGGAAATATTGATTTGATACATCAAAGGAATTTCAGTTAAGCATGAACTGGTTACCAAATTTAATATGATATCACCCCTTTTTCCCTTTCTTTTAGAGCAGGACTGTCTTGGCAACTTTCTCCATTCAGTCCATTGATAAATGTTAAATTTTTTTCACTTAAATCATTATATTATTAGATCCAGAAATAAATACGTTAAATGCCCGCGTTGAAGCATTCAATTATCCTGCACCTACGTGGTATTTTATAATGACAGCAACACAGACTTAGTGGCATATATACGTTGGGAGAGGTTGAGAAATTGCATGTTCAATGATTCAATCTAGGCTTACAAAAAAAAATTCTGTTTCAATCAACGTCTTGAAGTTGCAGGAGACTCGAGGAACAAAACATAGCTGACAAATTTATAATTTATGACGTGACAACAATTGGCTAAGAAAAAATAAATTGCACACGGACAAACAACTGATTGTGCTTAGAATTTGGAACCACCACATGCATATTCATGCGTTGCCTTGAGTCTCAATTAGGTACCTTCGGCAGTAATACCTTTGCAGACTGTAAAAAACTACTGCATGATGGAGGAAAAAGAATAAGATCTGAAACAAGATGCTTAGATGCTGTTTCAGAGGACAGTCATAGTGTTTACCATCAAACTCTGGGTTGACACAGCAACAAATGCTTTGTGTTAACTTGGCGTCTGTTGTTAATGAAACTTCTTGTGGAAATTACTTATGAAGGGGATTTAGTCGGCCACTTCCGATAAATTTTCTCTTGTTGGAATGATCGTTGGGAGAACAGAATTATAAGAATCTACCTCTTACACTATTAGCAGCCCTTGGCGTAACAGATTCATCTTCCACTTAATATTTATGGTTGCCAGGATGTTGCCAAATCGAATCATCAACTCCAGTGTTGAAAATGAAGCTGGTAAATAATGTGGTTATCTCTCTGGACAAATGACCAATACAAAAAGCAAAAACTCTCAACTCAGTTCCAGACTGATGCAAACCATTAAAATAAAACACAATTCAAGTTTGATATGTATATGAACATCTTAAGACAATGCATCATTTTACAATATGAAAGTAGGCCGTCCTGCTTAAATGCACGAAAAAATCCACATCAAGATTGAGATCCCAGTGCATTATTACTCTTAGAAATTACTGGATGAAGACTACAACAAAATATGAACATGTTGATGCAATCTATAGCTATCTATCATGTTAGAAGACAGGTGGAGGAGGATATAAACTGCTAGATGGTAATACTGTATAACAACCTAACAATTTGAACTTGAGTGAAGAAGACCATAGAATTTCATGCACAACAGAGATGTTAATGAAGATAAGAAATTGTAGAAAATCAGAATTCAAATTCAAATATTTTTCTTGTATAAATTAGGATTGATTGTTTTTTATTTCCTATTAATTAGGATTAATTGTAATTAATTAGAATTAATTGTGATTAGGTTTAGTGAGTCATAGCTGAGTCATTCATATGATTGTGATTAGGTTTGGTGAGTCATAGCTGAGTCATGCTTAGCTATTTTTTCTTGTATAAATACTCCTCATTCCTCATGTAATTATTTAATATCGATATACTGAAAACCTTTTTCAATATGGTATCAGAGCAGGTTGGTCCTGAGAAAACTCAGCCACCACAACCACCGTCAAACCGGCGGCACAACGCTGGAAAACTCAACCTTCAACCATTATTAATGTTATTTTCCCTTCCTACAAAGTCCCAAGAGCAAAGTAAGGCTACCAATCACTCTAGAAGGAAAATCCACGCTTTCCACCGCCGTCAGCCACCGTCAGCAGCCGTCGGAAAATTTTTCCGGCGACATTTCCGGCCAAGATCTGCACCATTCGAAACAGAAGGAGCCGATCTACAAGTTTCAAGAAGGACCATCGGATTCTGCTGAGCCACGCGCTAGAGAAAGGACGGAGCGTCCACCCTACGCGTTACCACATGCAGCCATGTTGATTGAAAGTAAATTTCCATCCAGCAATGTTGCTCAACAAGGTATAGCGTTCCATGTTGATAATAGTAGTCGATGGATTCTTGATTCAGGGGCTTCAGATCATATGACAGGTAATGCAACCTTATTTTGTTCTTATACCCCTTACTATCAACAATCACGAATAAGAACAGCAGATGGCAGCTTCTCTACTATTGCTTGAAAATGATCCATTAAACTTTCTGAACACATTACTTTGAACTCAAGTCCTTCATGTTCCCTCTCTTACTTGTAACCTTATCTCTATCAGCAAACTTACGTATGAGTTACATTGTGTTGCCAAGTTTTCTGTCAATGCTTGTATTTTTCAGGAACAGGACTCGGGGCTGATGATTGACAATGCTAGAGAGGAAGAAGGACTTTATTATTTAGAAAAAGATTCTTGTGAAGGAAAAATTTTTGTGAACCACTCGGTATGTTTGTCTGATGATTGTAATGATGTTTTGTTGTGGCATCGTCGGTTAGGACATCCAAATTTCATTTATCTTCAGAAGTTGTTCCCAAGCTTATTTATCAATAAAAATCCCAGTTCTTTTTCTTGTGATATTTGTCAGCTTGCAAAACATTCTCGTGTTTCTTATCCTCCTAGAGTCCATCATGATTCTTCTCCATTTACCTTGATTCATAGTGATATATGGGGTCCAGCCCGTGAAAAAAATATCTCTGGTGCTCGTTGGTTTATAACTTTCATAGATGATCACTCTAGGGTATGTTGGGTATACCTTCTAAAGGATAAGTCTCACGCTGCATCCATTTTTAAAAACTTTCATGCTATGGTTCAAACTCAGTTCCAGACCTCTATCCAAATTCTTCGAACTGACAATGGTACTGAATATTTTAATTCTGTTTTTGGAAACTATCTCAGCCAGTATGGTATTCTTCATCAAAGTTCTTGTCCTAACACCCCTCAACAAAATAGGGTGGCTGAAAGAAAAAATAGACATCTCCTTGAAGTTGCTCGAGCTCTTATGTTTACCATGCATGTCCCTAAATATTTGTGGGGAGAAGTTGTCTTGACTGCAGCATACCTCATCAATCGGATGCCTTCTCGTGTCCTAAATTTTCAATCTCCTTTATCTTGTCTTACCCACACCTTTCCTTCTTTCCGGGCTCATTCTTCCCTTCCTCCCAAGTTGTTTGGCTGTGTGGCTTTTGTACATGTTCCTCCCCATCAAAGGTCCAAGCTCGATCCTAAGTCCATTAAATGTGTCTTCATAGGATATCCTCCTAACCAAAAGGGCTACAAGTGTTACTCATCTTCACTTCGTAAGGTCTTTGTTTCTATGGATGTCACATTTGATGAAAGACAATCTTTTTTCCTTCGACTTCTCTTCAGGGGGAGTCTATTGGGGTTGATGAAGATAAGTCTTGGAAACCAAATGATTCTGTTGTTTTGCCTTTGCCGTTGGAGACAGGGGGAGTCATTATGCAAAAGACAAGGGGAGTTAATGTGTCAGATAATGGAGATCCTCCCGGAAAATGGGGAAAGTTTTACAGCAGGCGAGAATCACCTCGGGAGCCTCTAGACTGCCAAGATTCTGACTCGAGTCTTAGTTCCAGAAACACTGATACAGCCAACCTAGATGTGCCTATTGCTCTCCGAAAAGGTACTAAATCTTGTACTGCTCATCCTATTTCTCATCATATCACATATGAAAAGTTGTCCCCAGGTTTTCGTGCTTTCAACACTATGTTAGACAGTACAAAAATACCAAAAAATATCCAAGAAGCACTTGATGATCCAAAATAGAGGAATGCAGTCTTTGAAGAAATGGATGCACTCAACAAAAATGGAACTTGGGAGTCTGTAGCATTACCCAGAGGAAAGAAAACAGTAGGTTGCAAGTGGGTGTTCACAATAAAGTTTAATGCAGATAACAGCATCAACAAGTATAAGGCCAGACTGGTTGCTAAGGGATTCACTCAAACTCATGGGATAGACTATCAAGAGACATTTGCCCCTGTTGCCAAGCTTAACACTATCCGAGTTCTTTTATCACTTGCTGCAAATCTTGGTTGGCCCTTGCAACAATTAGATGTAAAGAATGCTTTCTTGAATGGTGATCTACATGAAGAAGTTTATATGGATCCACCACCTGGTTTTGAAAAAGGAGATGATTCAGTATGCAAGTTGAAAAAGTCTCTCTATGGTCTTAAACAATCTCCTAGAGAGTGGTTTGAGAAGTTTACTCAAGCTGTTAAGGGAAGAGGATTCCTCCAAGCTCAGACTGATCACACTTTATTTTTAAAACACTCTAATGGTGGTAAAATTGTTATTCTCATTGTTTATGTTGATGACATAATTGTCACAGGTAATGATTGTGAGGAGATAAGCTCTTTGAAGAAATGTTTAGCTAATCAGTTTGAACTGAAGGATCTTAGATCTCTAAAATATTTCCTAGGCATGGAAGTTGCTGGAAGTAAGGCAGGAATTTTTTTAACTCAAAAGAAATATATTCTAGACCTGTTACAAGAAACAGGAATGCTTGGGTGCAAGCCAGCAGAGACTCCAGTTGAACCCAATATTAAATTGGGAATCGAAGATGGGAAAGAAGTTGACAAAGAGCAGTATCAGAGATTGGTGGGGAAGTTGATCTACTTATCTCACACTCAGCCTGATATTGCATTTGCAGTTAGCATGGTTAGTCAATTCATGCATTCTCCTAAGGAAAAACACCTGAGTGCAGTTTATAGAATTCTGAAGTACCTCAAAAACACCCCTGGTCGAGGATTGTTCTTTTTAAAAGGGGACACAAGAGGATGATTGAAATATATACAGATGCAGATTGGGCTAGCTTTGCATTGGACCGAAGATCCACTTCAGGATATTGCACCTATATTTGGGAAAATCTTGTGACCTGGAGAAGTAAGAAACAAACAGTTGTTGCCCGGAGCAGTGCAGAAGCAGAATTTCGGGCTCTAGCCCATGGTATTTGTGAAGGAATTTGGTTAAGAAGACTCCTTGAGGAATTGAAGATCTCTTTTTCCCAACCTGTCAGAGTGTATTGTGATAATAAGGCTGCTGTCAGTATTGCTCAAAATCCAGTTCACCATGACAGAACAAAACATGTGGAGGTTGATCGCCACTTTATCAAAGAAAAAATAGATGATGGAAGTGTATGTATGGTGTATATTCCTACCAAAGAGCAGATTGCAGATATTCTCACTAAGGGCCTATATAATGACCCTAACTGATAAATCTTAGTTAGAGATTTAATTTAAGGATTTAAATGCCATAATTAGATTCAGTGAGCGATTTCGAGTATTTTGACTGTAATCATGACTATGTTATGAACAGTGCGTTCTGCCGGAGAATTTACAGTTTTGTGAATTAACCGGTAGAGCTTAAAATGAGCAAAATAATTTTAGGAACATAATTTGAAAATTCTGATGACAAATATGAGTTCAGAACGAAAAATTGTATAGTCTGGCACTTTCCGTGAAAATCTCGTGAATAGTGTTTCTACCGGGTATTTTGTACTGCTGTTTAAGCAACCGGTAGAGTCCAGAAATAAATAATTGATGAAATAAGAATAAGAAAGTCCAATATATGCCAAGCAAGTCAATATAGGCCCAAGAAAATGATAAGTTTATAAGTGTTAAGTTTTAAAAGTAAATAAAGTACAATTAGTGATTCACAGTGCATTTCGTCAAAAACGGTGCAGAAACCATACTGTGAATTATGAATATTGTTTTGTAACAGATAAAAATTAATGTAAATGATTTTAGAAAAATAAAAATATGTTCGTAGTTTTAAGTTAGTTCCGGGTCAATTTAAGTTAAAATACGCGATAGAAAAACATCTGTTAAAAAAGGCCACATGTGCTAGCCTTATAAGTGACTTAGTCTCATTATCCCAAATCAGTTTCTCTCTCCTCTCACCCTCTCAAAACCGAGCTGCACCATTGGAGAAGGGGGGTAGGGTTTTGAATTTCTTCTCCTTGATTCTCCATCATTTCTACTCCAAATTCAAAGACCCACCACATGAAATTGCTTGTAAAACACCCAATGAACCCATTCCAACCATCAATTTGAGGTTTTGTTGAGTGTGTGAAGAGTTATTCCTCCTCTCATTTTCGAGTTACTATTCATTGGAGGAGAAAAAGTGAGTTTTTGGATGGAGCTTGGCTTGGAGATTGCTCTCTAGGCTTTGTACAAGAGTTTAGAGGTAAGAAACCTCTATTTCCATGATATTATTTTGATGATTTAAGTTATGAAATTGATGAGCATATTTTGTTGGGAAATAATTGATGTTAGAATGTGAAATTTATGATGGATTATTGTTGTTTAGGAAGTTATAGTGTTGAGTAAGCATCCACATGTGATATAAAAATTTAAAAGTCCTATTGCATCTTCCTCCTAGGTTTCGGCCATCATGGAGTGAGTAGGAGTTATTGTGGAAAAAATTATATTATGTATTGTGAAGGTATAGTGTGTTGGAAATGAGTGAAAATGGATGAGTTAGTAAGAATGCCTAAGTAAAAAGGACTTGGTGTCTAAACTCAAAATAGGAATTTAGTGGAAGCATTCCTAGGTGTTTGCAAGTTGTAATGAAGTAACGAAAATGCATTGTAAAAGATAAGGATCTTTGGAAATTCCCCTTGTAGGATTCGACCTATAGGGTATTTAGGGATATATTTTGTACATTTTATTTTAAATAAAATGTGTTGTAATAAATTGTATAAAGGTGATGAGTTTTGAAGAAAAATAGCATGATTTATGTTGAAAATTCCTAAGGGAATGGTTGATTAAATTAAAGAACACCAACGGTTATAAAGAGGTCTAGACTTGTGTATTGGCATAGGATTGGCAAAAATGCAAAGAAAGGAAAATAAGCGATAAAATGTATGCTTATGAAATAATTATGGTATTGCATCATTTTATTGATGCATTGTAAATTATTCTCTAGGTGTGCCTAGGGATTGAGAAGGATCGGAAATCTCTTGAAGCGATAAAAGTAACTTGTTCCACAAGTAAGCGTATTGGTAAAGCTTCAAGAGGTAAGCTCTATGTTTAAGGAGTCTTTTCCTGCTTGAGTGCTCCACCATGGTTAGTGAACTATGGTTGGACTGTATGACTGTGATTTAGATGCTTTGTATAGATGCATTCATATAGAGTTATTTGATAACATGATATGTTTTGCTCTGATATGACTTCTGTAATTTGATTTCTGTAACAATCTCTGGCCATTGATTGTATAGTACCCGGACGTCCGCTTTGGGGTCCTCCCTCGGGACTGATGGTGTACTCCTCTGATATGTCTGGTTCCGCTTTGGGGTCCTCCCTCGGGAACACGTGCGTTGATTTCCGCTTGGGGTCCTCCCTTGGGAATGACGGCGCACATCTCTGATATGATATGGATATATGCTCTGTTCTGTTATGATATCTGTTATATGTTGTATTTGTATACTCTGTATCTGACTTTCATGCAGGAGTGAGCCAGGGGTATGGAGAATTCTCTATAAACCTGGAGCTTATTGAGATTTGTAATCTCACTCCTCTTTGGGGACACATTTTCAGGTGCCCAGATTTCCGGTGAGTCCTCACTAGGCAGGGACACGACACGTGGCTGAGGCAGTTGACAGACCGGATTTTGAGTGGCTGTAGGCTACTACCTTTTTGGAGTGTTTGATGTATTTTAGTATTTTCGCATTTGATGGATCATGATATTGATCCTTTATTTTGTATATGGCCTGTATATGTTTTGTACATGTCTGTCAGTTTGATGCATGTACATTTGAGTATTCAGGAACGTTATATGATGATGTAGTATTCAGATAGGTTTATGTTTTGATGGCATGCTGTTAGATTTAGTGGCACGGAGCCATGTTATGCATGCGCCCATGTATGGGTATTTGATTATATTTGGATATCTGGTATTTCTGAATTGATATGTTGTATAAACTGTTTATCAGGAAATGCTTCTGAGTGGGATTGGAAAATCCCCAGTTGTCCGATTTATAGAGGAAACTCTGCCCGATTTTCGTTTACGCCGAGTAAGAATTAAGTTAGAAAAAGAAAAAGTTAGCTCATATTTTCGTAAGTTAAGTCTTCCGCTGTTTCTGTTTATATCATGTGTATGTTAATTGAACCGGCTCGAGACGGGGATGTTACAGCCTACACCGGCCAGCCTTTGAAGACTTGATTGGCAAATTGGGAATGATCAACATTTACCTCCCAACTTGAGGGGGAGTGTAGAAAATCAGAATTAAAATTCAAATATTTTTCTTGTATAAATTAGGATTGATTGTTTTTTATTTCCTATTAATTAGGATTAATTGTAATTAATTAGAATTAATTGTGATTAGGTTTAGTGAGTCATAGCTGAGTCATTCTTATGATTGTGATTAGGTTTGGTGAGTCATAGCTGAGTCATGCTTAGCTATTTTTTTTTGTATAAATACTCCTCATTCTTCATGTAATTATTTAATATCGATATACTGAAAACCTTTTTCAATAGAAATGTAAAAAGATAATTCCATTCATTGTTATTGAGGTTATGAATGAAGCACCAAACAAAGAGAGAGAGATGGATAGCTGAAAAAACAGCGATTTACATTAAAATCACCCAAGTCAGCTTATGGACTGGAAGTTGACTTTTCTAACCACTGAACTAGAGTATTAAGCAATTATCAATTTCTTTTGTCTATTTTCCGATATTTTAATTTTTGATTAACAGACGACAATAACATGATGGGAAATCAAATATGAAGGTGAGAGATATTAGTGAAAGAGGCAAGGCATGGAAGTAAATTACTCCAGATGAGGAAGAGTCATGTGCTTCAAAATTCCTGGTTGACGAAGAACGAATGCCCTCCATTCTTCTTTACTTATCTTGCCGTCCTTGTCAACATCAGCATCATGAAATGTCTGTAATGCAACCAATTCAATCTAAAGCTTAAGTTATTAGGTGAATGTCATATTAATAGTTTTATATTTCTCTAACAATTTTTTTTTTTTTTTAAGGTATGGATCCAAATCAAAGCAGAAGCAGAAGCAAAAAAAAAAGTTACTGCAAGCATTTGCCTTATCAATAATGGTTTTGAGAACTTCATCTTCCAGATGCATGCCGGATTCTGACATAATCGCAACCACCATTTGGCTAACCTGGAAAAAGTTGCAAGTTGACAAAACAGTTCCAAACATTAATAAATCAAAAAGTGTCCAGGGAAATAAATTATATAAAATGTCAGACATCTCCATGGTTATTTTATGAGTTTTATATCTCATTCAATGACATATGATCTTTCATGGATTTGACAAACAGAAACCAACACCACCACATTACTTTTTGAACTTGTCATATGAAACTGTTATTGAATAATAGAATTCTATATATCCGGTAACATTGTCTTCATGCATTATTGTTCTATGATAACGAAAAAAGTTAAGCCAATGAGATCTTCAAAAACCTGGACACACCAAGATACTAACCTCTTCCCGCTCAATATATCCAGTCTGTCCCAAGTCATACAATCTAAAAGCATCTGCAAGCAAACCAAGAAGGAAAGACAATATATATTTTATTACTATAAATAGCATTAAAATGGATAAAATAAGTACAACTGCAAAAAACTTAATGACGTTTTACAATCAATTTTCGTTTCCAGAGGAGCACAAGGATGAAAGACACTTAAAGCACGCACAAACTCCTCAAATTCTATAACACCATTTCTTTTTTCATCAAAGAGATCAAATACCTGGCCAAGAGTATCAACAATAAGTGAACTCAATTGAAAAAGTTAAAAAGGAAGAACAGCATTAAATAAAGATCTATCCAGCTATATCTTCTTTAAAGCATGTATATTTGCGGTAACCCCAGCATTTTATTTTCCACTGGGCAGAGGAGGGAGAAGCTCTACATAGAACATTATAACATATGACGAACCTTGGCTTTACCAAGTAAAGTCAACAATATAAAATAAGATAGTGAAATAATTTGCCAATCCATAAGATGCATCTTTCAATATCTCTATAAAGAAAAAAAATAAAGAGAAAAGAAAAAAATGCATTTTCAAAGAGTTTTACTCAAATGATAGTTATGAAAGAAAATCAATTTTTCATAACAATTTATGAGCTTTATTCAAGTTTGTGTGGCAATCATGATTTACAAGAGTAAAGGACTGATCAATACAAGACTTCAAAAGGAACAATATAAAAAGCACCGTAGTTTGTTGTTGACATAGGATAGTTCTAGCACATAGGTCTAGAACAGCCTGATATGTTACATAGGAAACTCTGAAGAAATTTTAGAAGAAAAATACGAAGTGAAAGATGGATAATTGGTGCCCTCAAAATTGTCATCTGCTAGTTAATGAGCAAATTTTTGTCTTCCAATTGCAGCATCTTATATGTCCCCATTGAATCACAAACTCCTTTTTATTAACCTATTCTGCTAACTAACCCTTTACAATATGCCACATCAGCATCTCATAACCGAACAACCAATTATTAACAACTCCTCTAACACTCACTATTTACAAACTATATTCACAAACTACTGCTACTGCTATCTAGCTACTGTTATTCCTCTTCTATGGATATTAACTAAAAATCCGTAACACCATCACCATGCATAGTTTAATACTTTGGTCATGCCATTGAAACAAATCCAGCTTCAGAAGTTTGACATTACAATATTTTAAATTTAATAAAAATCAAGACAAAACAGGAGAATTACAAGAACTAGACTAAATGAAGTCCTTGGAGGTAGGAATAAAATAAAAAGAATGATGCATAATGTTATTAGTACTAAACATTGTTTTATAAAGAGGTGAAGCCATTCTGAGGTAGGAAAGTACATCCACCATATTTACCCAAATACCATAGGAAACAAGGGTACTTATCAAATGTTTTCCTTCCAACTCAAAGTTGACTTCCTTAATACAAAAAGGACTGTGAATGAAATCAAGAAAACAAACCAAAAAGAAAAGAAAAACAACAATTGTCAAAAACAAATATACCCGATCAAGGAAAAGATTTTCGCCAGCTGGTGTTTTCAATAGTGCCAATTTGAGCTCATCCTTCAAATGAGAAACAGAGATGAGTAATAGGAGGCAATTTGACAAAAAAAAAATTAACACTGTTGATGATAAATCCTAGCCGCCAACTTTTTCTATAGATAAAAAAAGGTACATGAAAATGCACAAACTTAGCATCAAAAGTAAGTTCTCAAACTGAGTTGCTATTGTAACATCTTTACTTAACAAATGAACATATAATTGTTTATTGTTCACTATCCAGGTAAAATAAATGACTGCAGTCGCATACTATTCCATGTTTATATTTAGTTTCTTGGGTGCGTTCTCTTCCACTACTCAACAGTAATATTTTCATAACAAAATTTACAAATGAAGGTGACAGCCTAAGCTGTTCCAACTTCTGACATGCTTTCACTTCCATACAACCTAACATTTCTTTTTCTGTAATTACTAGTCACCCAAATTACTAAATTGTTTACGTCACTTAGTTTTACCAATTGAGACATGCCAGTGCTATACGGATCAATATTCTCATGAAAACAAACCAATATATTCTCCTCATATAACAGAGTCCCATGTAATTATTTTTTGTTTCTATTCAATGCTTAACTTCCTATTGCAGAAAAGTGCCTAGGTGGACATATCCGCAAATTCTTGCATAGTAATCATTGATAAGTTCTTGCAATTTAAAGAATAATAAGGCGAGACAGCCATGTTTTTTGGATTCACGGGTAAAGTGAATATCAAACATAAGGCCAATCTAGCAGGGAAGGAGAAAATGGGGAAAACAAAAACAACTGCTTATAATTTACAACTGGCCTAATTCACAGACAGTTTATGCTCCAGGTTTAATCTTGCCCCCTTAACGTAGGTCCAAACTCCTGAAGAAAACAAAGGACACTACGGTTGTGGCAGCTTATATTAATGTTACTATGATAACATTCAGTAAATTAACATTACCTTCCACAAAATTGACAACTTAAGATTTTATTGACGAATTAAATAGCAAAACTCTACAAATCAAAGTAATTGAACAAATTAAGCATCAAAACTAGCAGGATCTCAGTTACCTTGTGTATTAGGTCATCATCAATTATTGAACAACTCAGCTTCTTGAACAATTCACGCAACGCCTCGATTTGATTAACATTAACTACGAGAACACGATGAAAAAAATCATGAATTATTTTTTGAAAAAATAAATAAGCATTTCCACAATAATAAGAAAGCAATCAGGGAAATCAAAGAAAGAGACGAACATGGAGAGTCGTTAGCGAGACGGACAATATCTTCGAACGCATTGGAGATGTTCTTCTTAGGACGACGATAATTGAAGCAACCAGCTAAGCTGAAAATTAAAGCTTCTACAACTCCTATCAACGGAATGAACACCGCACACAGCGTCTCACCAACCGTCAAGTTTGATTTCTGAACCGGTCACCAATTCGCCACAAAACCGGAGAAAAAAAAAACAATCAATTCAGTGAAATCAACGCAAATCCGAATTCACAAGCATTGCAGGAATTGAAAGAGAAAATTCTGAAATCTCTTTTACCAGAGAGCTAGCTCCGTAGTCCATGTTAACAACATGCAAACTTTTTACACGGATCCAAAAGTGGAAAAGAAATTCAATCCATCTTCTTACATTTATTATACATTATTTTTCAACTATTTTTTTTTTTCCCCTCCTCGACTGGTTTATACTTCAGACTAGTCCCGCTAAGCGACTCTTTGACCATTTTTTTAACTAATCTTTAGATAATTAATAATTGGGTTTTATGAATATAAAGTCGCATAACAATAACACTAAAAGTGTCTTATCATAGATAATTTGACTTTTCATCTTAATTCCTTCTATGTTACGATTTTATCTATGTATTTTATTATTTTCTGAAATATTGAGTTATTTAAACAGAGTAGTTATTTTTCTTATTTTGTTATTAGTGGAGTTTATTTGATGTTAGTGGGTAGTTATTTTTATGGTTGAGTTATATCATCTATTTAAACTTTAAAATATTAGAATGAAAATTATCAGATCAGATTATTAAAATCATTTGAGATCAGGCTTCCTCAATAAAATCAAATTTTCATTTTTATTTATTATGTTGGTAACACTTTCTGGTCATATTTTTGAATGATCGCCACTGGCTATGTGCAGTGTAGTCAGTGTAGATACTTATATGTCCATTTGTAAAACTCAATTCCATTAGTATAGTGAAAAAAATAAAAAATAATACCGTGTTAAATTCTGTGTGTATACATTAAGTATTCTTTACAACTTTTGTTGACACCAGCAAATGTACAGGGCTCCAAATTTTACAGCTTCATATAAATAAAAACACTTATTTCTGTGTAGATAAAGATAATCAAAAGAATGGTTAGTCCTATTTGTGTGTCCATATCTCAATGGTATGGCTAAGTGGTAAAGATAGAGGGTAACAATTTAGATCTCTTCCCCTTCACTAGAGATTTTGTATCAGGAAAATGATCTCCACCATTGCTCAGGTCCTCCACATAGCCTTTTTGGGTTACTTTCACTGGGTAAGTTACAAGGTGCACTCCTTCCATGTCCACAATTTCTTCACTAGAGTATATATTCCACATTTGATCTCCTATTGAGCGCATTTTCTGCACACATTCCAAACTTTCTGGTTCTAAGAACAATTCCTCAGCTCTACCTGTGTGCTCATACCACAGTGACATTCTGTATGCATGAACATCACCATGGTTCATTTGGTGATCAACTCCATCTTGAGACTGGTAGCCCCCTATGGCAATCTCAGTGTCCCTTTCCCCGTCCATGGATCTTTGGTTCACATTTGCTGATCCTATTAATATGTATAGGTCGTCCACTGGTGGCAGAAGCAAGAAAACAATATTTTAGTTAACCTATAATATCAATACATACCACAGTTGCACAATTTAATTACTTTGATGCTTATCCTTTCATAAAATGAATTATTGAAATAAATTTATCGGCTTGCAACTTCTCATGTTGTATGAGAAGTTGAAACTTTTCTAATGTAAGAGAAAGAAATGGGGCCCATTTTGAAAAAAAAATAAAAATAAAAAAGTGGCTGGTACGGATATCAAAATGAGGGTGGCAAGAGAATAGACTTTTCATGCAACATGAAAAATCTTTTTTTCCTAAATTTATTGTAACAAATCATTCCAAATGAGTTTTTTTGGCAAAAGTTGACATAGCTAAAAGTAGCATACATGACCTCAATAAGTAGTTATAATGTAATCATACCTATCATGAGCTTGGAGTGAACATAAACCATGAACCTTCTATTTTTTTGTGCATTCCAGTATAGTGTTTCAGGATGGGGAGAATGTGGTGGAAGATACTCCTCTTTTCCCTTCTTTTCCCTATTTGCAAGGCAGAAGAAATTCAAGTAGTCTCTTGGATGCCCTGGTTCCCCACTTTCAATTATTGCTTCTCCAATCAACTTATACATCATTGTCATTGTTTCTCTAGTCCAATGCAGTATATCTTGAACTGGTTCACTTTCAGGTACTCCTTCTGGCCACATTGGTATGATTATGTATGCTGCAAATCTCTCTCTTGCTTTAATCTTACTAACAACTTTGAGTGCTATCTCAATGGGAATCAGATTTCCGCAGCCACTATGCTTATCTTTCTGCCACAAATGGCATCCTCCAATGAAATATTGGTTTTCAATGTATAAAAACCTATCAGCACGCCTAATTGCTTCAACATAAGCTTCATGAATGCTTCTCTCCACAGTTAGCTTTCTAAACAACTGACTAGCTGAGACATGGTCAATTGACCTGTATACTTGAACTTTCCAATTCCTCTCTATGTGAGTGCTTGAGAAATCCAGAATGAGATTTGTTAATGTGTTAGCAGGGACAAGAAGAGAAGGGTCACATTGCTTTGTCCATCTTTGTTCAAAATTTGTTAACACGTCCCAAGCAGCCTCACCAGTAAGACAAGCATGAGCATCATGCCAAGGCTCCCTTGGCCCACCTTTGTTGAGGCTAGCTCCTGCAATGTTTGTCTGGTAGAAGTCATGGTAATGGGATTCCTCAGTAAGTGTTTGAAACAAAGAATGTTTCTCTGTATCATAACGGCCATCACACAAATCTACACCACCCAAAAAGCTCATAATTTCTCTGTCATTAGCAGAGTTGGGCACTCTAGTGTCCACAGTTATGGTCTTCTGATGGTGACTAAAGAGTGGGGGGAACTTGTGGTGTAATCTAGGACACTTTTTGCATATTACTTTTGTGTGTTTGAAGTAAGCAAAAGCATCTTCATCATGAGTGTTCATTACACCTTTGTTCTTAATAAAAGGAAACGATGTTTCATCATCCCAAATCATAACCCTTACAGCTACTCCTTCCTCTGCCTTCTTCATCAATAACTCACCCAGCTTTATTTCTCTGGCATGTGGGATTTCTGTTTGAGGGTCTCTAACCTGAACAAGGAGTATATTAGCTTCTCAAAAATGTGCATCAACACAAAAGAAAAAAAGTATGAAATGAGATTATATTTACCAGAACCATCTTTGGATTAAAGGACCAGCCTGCAATATAAACTAAATACTTTGAACCCTCAATGGCTTTATATACATCCTCCCATAGCTTTCTTGGACCTTCAAATATATCAAAAGGAGGTTGGAAAGAAGATGGATGGTGAGCATCATGATAGAGCTTAACCTGACAATTTGACCTTTGTGGGAATGTAGCATCCTTCAGCCCTTGAAATTCTCCATTGCTTAGTAGCTTTTCCCAACTTGGTTCCAAATCTGCTGGCTTGAACCATAATATAAATCTTAATTTTAGTTGTGGGTTTGGTTTTCCATTTTCCTTAAGGAGAGGAAAGAATCCATTGATCAAACTCTCTTCCTTCAGCAGCTGAAACTGTATATTGAATTTCCCCAATATGCAGCATGATGTTCTCAGTGTAATGGTGATAATTGAATCAGCTGGATGAGCACAATGAATCTGAAAGGTCTGGTTCCATACACGTTCACTTTCTTGGGTCGTTTTTACCACCCTCTTGTTGTCTATCTTGATGGTCACATAAGAAGGCTTCCCATTTGTACATATACACTGAAAAAAAAAGAGAGAAATTGATGCAAAGTATGAGTTCACAAAGCACTGCAAAATTTCACAGAATAGCTAATTTAAAATATGTATGTAAAAGTTAGCATTTGCTCACATTGAAGGGAAATGAAGGTGAGTAAGGTGTAGCATTGAAGATGGTAGCTTCAATTGTTCCGTGGATGAGCTCAGGCTTTTCCTCCATTGCCTTGGCCTTCAAATATCCACAAGAAGGAAATGAGAGAGAGACAGAAAACTATCAATTATGTTTTGACTTTTGAGGGAAACCGTGTCAACTTGCAATCATTACCAATGATCATAATTCATATATAAAGGTTGTATAAGCTTGGTGTTGTAGATGAAGAAGCAAAGGGAAGCTTACAATGAAATTGAGCAGTTTGGAAAAACTTGTGGAATTATTCACTTCTAGACGTATGTATATAGTCACAGCCAACCTTCACGTTTATCTCTGACAAGTTTTCGCTTGAAGCTCAAGTTTGTTAAACCAAATCACAATTTTCCGTGCTCAATAAGAGTTGAGACCAAATCCTAACACTAGCAGCTGACTTTGTTATATGTATGTATGTATGTATAAATTTTTATAACAAAATCAAATTTGTTGGAGAAACAATTACGTGTCAAATGCATGGCCGCTAGAGCCATAAAATTGGGTCAAGTTATCATAAATGAATACACCCTTACTTTCTTGCATGAGTCAACTACACCATGCGATGCGCAATCCAATCTTAAAGCTTAGTTAAGGTCTAAGAATTATTGTAAAAACTACCTTAATACTGGTAAAATGCACGGAATATTATAAAAGGTTCATCTCAGTTGCAATTGATATTGTATATGGGAAATATAGTTCTTCTGTCGCTGCAGATAGGAAAAAGTGCAACAACACTTATTTTTATCAGGATACGCGTCCGAATCCTGATGTATTTTTTTTTTAAACCAGGATATGACCCCGTATCCTAGTGTTAATAATTTGCTGCAACTTTTCTCATCAGCAGCGAAAGAAGAAGCGACAAACCCATTGTATATATACTTAAATGAAATCAAATAATTTATTACTAAAAGTTTAATCAAATTTAATAATTTTAAAATTAGAACATATAAAAAATAGATTTGATTAATTGATGACTTAATTATATCAACAAAATATGAATTTAGAGGAAAAAAATTATATATGAGTGACGCATGACATTTACCTATTTGTGTAGAATGTATTTTATATAATAATAAAGGGGAAAATGTTTGTATGTAAATAACGAAAGATTTGTTATGGTTTGAGGATGTGTTCATCTCTTCTCTTTCTTTTGCTTTTTTGGGTCACCTTATGTAAATAATGTATTTTAGAGGGCGTTTGGTAGAGGAGAAATTTTTTATAACAAGGGAAATATAATTAGTGGGGAAATGATTGTAAACTAAAATAAGTGGGGAAATTTTAAAAATGTTGTTTGGTAGACTCAAATATTACCGGGGGAATTATGTAGAATTTACTGAGACTATGTTTGGTTGAAAGTAGAAGATTGATGGGGAAATATGACAAAATATCCAAAATACCCCTGAGTATTTAAATAGACACTGTGGCAAAGAGACGTCGTTCTTCTTCTGTTTTTCCGTTCTCCATTTTATGTGTTTCTGTGTGTCGGTCATTTGGAATACAACCTCCATCACTCCGGCACGGTGAGGTATCGGTCTGAATGGAGAAATCTACACCGACATTAAAGCTTCGGCATCAGGATCGAGTTGCAAGCTGCCATCGAAGGCGAGTTATTTTTGTTATCCTTTGATGCATAGAGTTAACTTATTTTTCGTTGTGAGGTGGGGTTCGTCAGTTGTTTTTGTGTTTGTTCAAGATGAACCTTTTATTTTTTTTGAAAGTTTATGGACTTCTTCAAGTGATGATACTTAAAATTTCCCAGGGACCTTTTTACGCCGTTAGCTTGCCTTTGTCGACAAAGTTTGATTTTATATTTAGGAAATGGCAGACATGCAAAGTTTATGGGACTGCCCTTCTGATTTTATTCTGCTAGAAATTCGTAATGTATTGATTAATAATATACAGGTGAAATGGAGGGGAATACAAATGGAAGACAATGCTAAAATATTGTGACCCCAAAAATTGAGGACTTGGATTATGAGTTGCCACCTTATGTTACATTCTCAGGGGATGTTGGGGTATGCTGCAGATTTCTCTTTTTGGATTGATATACAATATAAATTAGTTAGTTTTTTAGGCTGAACATGTCACTACCTTAAAAGGTGATTGATATACAATATAAATGGATCTTTAGGTTATCTTGAAACCATTTTTTGTAATACTGCTCACTTCATACTATATGAACAGGCCATGGCTTCTCCTGTAATAAGAGGAGTGCTGAAAAAGACCTAATTTTAAAGTTAGCAGAATGAATTTTAAAGTTAGTCACAGACACACACACACACACACACATTCTTAAACCAATTACTGAGTCTTAGTTATTTGTTGGTCCAGGAACAATACAACGTGTGATGGCCTTGCTGACTTCTCAACACTCCATGCAACATGCGGGAGGCCTTTAGGATTGGGTTTCAATCATCAGACAGGGGAACTGTATGTAGCTGATGCTTATTTTGGGCTCGTTAAGGTTTGTTCCAATGGAGGGCCTCCAACCCAACTTGCAGCTACACAAGAGTTACTGGAGGGCAAACAGAATTCAGAGATTCTGGGTCAAAGGGCCGACAACAAATTCATCAGAATTGTTCTTGCTACTTGCGGGAAGACCAAATAACATCAAGAGTTAAGGATGTTCTGGTGTAAATTGTATACATGGAACATAGACTACCAGTTTGTAAATAGGAGTTTTATGTACTCAATATGATGTTGTTTGTAATTACAAATTTTTGATATGATATACAAAGGCAAGCCAATTAGAATATTTAGCTCCTTGAATAACATCAGAGTCTTGAGATATTCCTTCATTTTTGTTAACTTTGTGCTGCAATTCAATGATGACACAAATATCGAACTGAATTAGTGAATCTCCGAAATGAAAGTCAATTCTTATATTCATTAAATTTCAACAACTTTACACATTCCACAAACTTAAGAACCCTTAAATACAGTATGACATAAACCATTCCATAACAGCTGTATCATACATGAAGTACATGAACATATACATATACACAAATTGGCATTGATGCACTCAGTTTCTTTCGGTTATATTGTGTATGTGTCATGTAGCTTGGCAGGCCTGACAATCTCATCCATTGATGCATGAACACGAGCATCATCTTGTGCTGCAATTGAAAGTTTGATGTTAAACCAACAAGAGGTTGTCCTATATGCAGTAATGAGTCTCTGCATCAATGACTTAAAGAATTCCTTTCATCTCCTTTGGTGTCTTCTTCACATGATGTCTGTTTTGTTATTTGGGCTAACCTGAAAAAAAAAAGGTAACCATGTGAAATTACAATGTCTCCATGGAGGAAGTTAGGTAACAGAACAGAAGAAAACAACAAAATAGTCAAAAAAGTGATACATAATGATAAACTTAAAAGTACCATTTCTCACATACAAGTACAAGACCCCTAAAAGAGGCATATAGCTGCTTCTGTCTTATCAGCTTACCTGAATGCAATTAAAAGGCATTGATGAAAAAAAAAATTACAGGATGTGACCTAGTATCCTTTGTGCTGTAAGTCACAGACAGCATCCATATGAAGAAACTGAATTTCACTTCTCCAAATGTACTGAAATATTTTACAAATAAGGCAAGGACAGCAATTCATCAAATAATTAAGAATATAAACTGTGATATATATTAATGGAATCATATCAGATAACTGTTTCTACTTTTATATTGGATCAGTTGTCCCCACCAATTATCCTTTACATGTGGCAATAAACTAAGTTAACAAGCACACTTGAAAGACATTAATTTTCTGGATTTACAATGTCTCAAATGGAATGCATATTAACTAAATGTCGGTGAAACTGAATCACATCTATGAACTCAATCATAAACAAAAAAAGTTCACACTCCAAGTTCCCCTGCCTGCGAACATAGCATCAGTAGCTATGTAACTCTTGTTCACTTGGCAGCTTAAAATCATTCCTGCAAGTATACATAATGAATTAAAAATCAAATAATTAAACTTTACAGATTAACAAAGAAACCTGAATGTTTGAAATCACAACTTACATTCACCCACTATATCACAATTTTACTTTTAAAAAAAATAACAATGGTTTAGAATAATTGAATTCATACTTCTTTCACCTATATCCTAGGCTGTCTATACTGCAAAAAAATGATATCTACTATTGTGTCCCAAAAGCATTAATTGAAGTCTTAATATATTCCATACTTTAAGGGGTATGTTGTTAAGCATCAATTTAAATCCCGAAGGATAAGATGTCGATCACAGTGCCCCAACAACAAAAACAACCAAGCGATAATTCCACTAGGTATCAGTCGGTTAATTTCACACCATATGACAGCGTTTCAACTGTATAAAAATTAATTTTTCTGCACAATGAAATTTTACCAAAATAGAAGGCACTCTTGGACCCATGGAGATGTTTATGAGAGAAGAGCACAACACACATTTTGATCTGTCTCGTTCCTCGAAGCTAATACTGACCGCGGGTATTAGAGGAGAGAGGTGATTGCACAGGGGTATTTGCGTAACAAGGTTGCTGCCAAAAATCTCACTTCCCTAGCTTTCTCCGGATACCACCTCCATGGTGGTCTTCCAAAACGGTGCCTGGGAGACCATTTTACACTGATTTTGGCTTTTCATGGGGAAACTCGATACCCTGCTATATTTCTAAAACTCTTGTACCAAACACGGCTTTCTCCATATCCCACTTTTACTTACCCATCTATCTTCTTAAAAACCATCTACCAAACACCCCCTAAGAGTATATGCCAAAGAAGTTCTGTTGTCTATATCAAGTAATCAACTGTTGCGTGTGGGTTGTCCACATGAGTGCAAAATGAACATATTTTATATTTGGTTTAACAGAAATTTTAGTGTTTTTAATAAAGATAAGTCACTTATTACTTATTTTAAACACATTTTTATGCTTACTAAATTAAATGTATTTTTGTTATCAAAAAAAAAAAAAATTAAATGTATTTTTATTATGTTTTGATAGAGAACTCCAAGCTTTGTTATGCTATTTTAATTGTAACTTTTGTTACAAACCTTAGATTCAGTTGTTTTGGGGTTTATGGAAAGTTAAGAAAAAAATTATAATTTTCACGAACACGTCAAATGTGGCTGATGAAATCTGACCAAATCAAATTGTTTTCCCAAAAATTTAGGCGTTCATTCAAATCTTTAATTGGTGTCGAAGTAATCTTCTCACTTATTACAAAGATTTAAAGGAAAAGTTTTATTGCCATCTTTATGGGAAACTTGATTTTTTATTAATAGAAAACCAATAAAAGGAAGAAAATAAATGATCTGGACAAATGTTATTTAAGAAATGGATAAATGGAAGAAAACTATCCAAACTTTTGTTTGAGCATTTGGATAAAAGAGAGAAAGCAAATTATATCATAATAATCATAGTTTAAGGCGTAATTGAATGATTGATATTATCATCAGGATAACCGCATTATTTATCATCCTTCACACATTTCATCAATTTAGTTAACACAAGTTAATATCATTTCACAAGATCTATATATATATATATATATATATATATATATATATATATATATATATATATATATATTATATGGAGATTGTTTTTCTTATTTAACATTAGAGAAAAACAATCTCATATACATATGGAAGATAGAGGAGAGAGAATAAAGGAGAGAGAGAGAAAGAAAATTTAAAGTGAGGCCCACATTCAATTTATATCTAGTATATGAGATAATTATTTATATATATATATATATATATATATATATATATATATATGTATATATTGCAGAGATCCCTAACAATAAATAAAAAAAAGTACTTGTGACACCTCTTCAAAACTAAAATTGTCTAATGTGTTTGAACCGAAACAATCACACACACACGATCAAAAATAAGAAAAGAGAGAAAGGGAAGAAAAATGAAGACACAGATTTATCCTGGTTCATCTAATATGGGTTACGTTCAACAATATGCACTATATTCTACTCATCACACTTATTACAACACTCAGATTACAAAGGGAATATAAATATGATTACAAACTCTACGCAAAAGCAATTATTCATATATCCAAGCTCAAATTACTAAGGAAAAAGAAAAAGAAAATAAACCAGAGGTTCACAACAGTACTAGGTCTCCGTAGTCCTGAGGGCATCCCTGTCGGGACGGCTCCCTGGACCCCCTTTCGCTCAGAGGGAGCAGACCCTCGTTGGTTGTCTTTGTACCCCGCCAACAAGAGTCGTTATCGATATACGAAGAAGTGTGAGTCATATACAACATAAGGTTGTCTTTTTCCATTAGTTTTTCAAAATAAATTATTTTGTATTATTTAAATATGATATATTAAAAAAATAAAAGAAAATAACAGAAATAAATAACTCCAAATTAAAGGAGAGCCAGATACCAATACACAGAAGAAACAAAGAAGCATAGATTACCCAAAAAAAAAAACATAAGTCTTTGAAGATTGAACAACCATCAAATCTGTTTCGTTAAGCAGTAAGCGCAACTATGAAAGTTAGGCTAACCGCTAATGTCTGCCTGCTTAACCATATGCATATTGGGATTTGGGAATCACTCACAAACCAAACAAGCAACATTGCAGAAGAAATCATGCTAAGTAAACATCCATCGTTGTTGACTTTGAATCTATTAGAGGAAAGGAGGACTATAAGAAACAAAGGTGAAGCGGGGCATTTCGATTATTAAGGTAGACCCTCAATGCAACAGAAAAGTCACAACACAAAAAAAGAGTCATACCTGTAGTTTTTTTTACGTGAAAATCCATCGAAATAATTATTATCAGTAGCATTAATTTGCGCAGTTCAATACAATGAAGGGATTTTTCTCCTTTTTCTACACTTCAATCTTCTCTTTCTATAAACACTTTCAGCACTTCCGTAAAACTTACATTGCATAGCCTGCTGTTGTTTGATCCAATTGGCAAAGTTTCAATTATAAATATGCCTACTAGATCAAGTACATGATTCCTATATATTCCACACAAGTGTCATGGGAGCTTTGTGATTAGAGAGACTGTGTATACAAGACTTATACCTTATACAGCATTCAACAGGAATCGGACTCATGTGTTACACTTACACCTTTAGTGGAAGAGTTGGACTAAATTGGTGAACCCTTCGTGAGTTTGAATTTTAAGTTTAAGAGTGAATTTTTTTTCATTTAAAAGCTCTTTTTTATTAAAAAAAAAGTCATTCTCAGTAAAAATAAGCATTTCGACTTTAACTTAAAAAAAAAAAAAAGTTATAAGAAAGTCAAAATTCAACTTTTTTTAAGCTAGTATTTCTAGTTTTTTTTTTTTTAAAGTCATGTTTTTATCAAAATTTGAATTTGCCCCAATCTCAACCTCAACTAATCCAAATTTTGCCGCAACCATCATCGGTCACTGTCTCCTCCACCACCAATATCATCGCTGACAGTCTGCCACCAGTGACGGAGCCACGTTGGGATAGGGGGGCTTTAACCCAGGCTAAATTTCAAAAATTAGCCACGGTTTCAACGTAGCTAAATAATCGTGACCTGGACTAAATTTTTTCGGCCCAGGCTGGGTTGTTACGCTGGATCCACAGCTGTCTACCACCAACTCACCTCCGTCACCGTATTATCTATCATTAAATCTTGTTGTTATAATTTTTTTTTCATATATTCTTTTTAGTAATTTTATATATATATATATATAAAATTTATTTCAATATCCAAGTAATTTTTTAGGTAAAAATATTTTTCACATAC